AATTTACATGGTGTTAATTCTATACTGGTCCTGAACAACTCAAGCCAATTACCAACATACAAAACCAAAAATACTTTATTGCTGAGTCATCCTGGAAATTGAATGAGGGGAGAGGGGAGTTCAAAGCCTTCCAGGATTTCCACATCACGATAAAGATTAAGGACCTTGGACTTCACTTAGGGCACTATCTACTGTGATCCTGGTAATCTTGTTAGTCCCTCCAGGTCACTTCTACTTCATCTGTTCGATACCTGTGGAATAGGAAACATAAGGAAAAATATGGGGGAAGGCTATCCATTAGCAGTTCTTCTCTGCCCTCACTATCCTGGACTCTCCTCCCTGCTGATTCTTGCACATCTCCCATGCAAGCTGATCTCCCCTCCAAGAGGTGAATCCCTCACCTTTGTGTGACTCCAGAATCACTGAGAGGGGTCCTGTGTCCAGCTCGGAACATCTCCCAGCCAGCGTGGGCTATCATGGCTCCATTGTCAATACAGAATCTGAGAAAGAAAAAGAGATGTGAAATTTGAGATGTAATGGCAGAAAATCAGTGATGAGAGAAAATAAAATAAAAAGATTGAGAAAGGATTTAACCTCTCATCTGTGGCAAAAAGCCGGGCTCCCCGTTCCTGACACATTGTTTCCATCATCTCCTGTAGCCTCACATTACCTATGTAAAGTGGTAGGGAATATGGTTAGCTCAGTTTTAGGCATTTCTCCATGGCCTAGCTATAGACTTCCTATATATTTACTTAGAAAGATAAAGCAGGGGGTTTAGGGGCAAAGGTTAAGAATAGGATAAGAAATGAAACTACTGATTTCCCCATACCCTAAGAGTTTTAGAATATCAGGAAAAAATACACAATGCCCAAGAATAGGAAAAAGAAATATTGTTTAATGACACGTACATCCCACACCTCCCACGATGAGGGCCTCCTGGGAGCCACAATGTGCCATGGCTCTCTCTGTGATCTCTACCAGCATTGCAAACACAGTTTCCTGTGAGAGACAGATATCATGAAAATATCACGGAGGCATCCCAATTTAGTTCTGCTCTACCATATGAAAACTCCTCCCAGCCCCAATCTCCTGTTACAACTTTTTACTCCATTACCTGCAAAGAGAAACACAGATCCTCAGGAGTACACTCCCCTGTGGCCAGCATCCGCTGGGCTGCATCCTACAATTAACAGGGGTAGGCAAACAGTGGTTTTGGGGTTACATGACAGTGAAAATTAGTACGCTCAGATGACCACGTTATTTCTCAATTCAAATTACCAGTACATCTTATACCACATTTTGTCCTTCACTGGCACTGAGCTATAGGGTGGGCAATATTCATTCAAGATTCATTAATTATTTCTTGAATGCCTGCCTAACACTCCCTCTTACCCTGTTTCTTTCTCTCCACAGCACTTATAATCTGACACACTTCACATTTTTCTTTTTTTGGGTTGTTCTTTCTTTATCCTCTAGGCCTCCAGAGATTTTTCTTTTGCTCCATGCTGCACCTGTATTGCCTAGGACAACACCTAGCACACAGATGGTATTCAAAACCTTATCTGCTGAATGAATTTACTGAGCATTCGATACGAGCCACCACTATTACATACTAGAAATACAATGGTGAGCAAAACTGATGTGTTTCTTTAAAAAAGCATGAAAGTGCCCCTGTCTCTTCACCTTTCTCACACTTACCTCAATGAAAGACAGGATACCTGAGAATGAGACATCCATCCCCTTCACAGTGTATGGCAGCTCAACCAGCTTCTTGCCTCTACATGGGAGTGAGGATATGAGGCACTAAGCCTAGAGTCAGCTGGCTGCTCCCCAGCCAAAGCCCACCCCAATCTTCATTAATAAATATGCAAGGAAATCGCTAAAAGCCTCCCTCCATCTTATGTCACCTCACCGCTTTGCCATCTGTTCAATGTTGTAACCTGGACTTGGGTCATTAGAAATCTGACAGACAAAAAAAAAAAAAAAGGAATGAAGTGAATGGAAGAGGATGGGGTCTGATATACAGGAACTATAGGAAACTTATTTATCTGTTCCTCCCTCCATTTCAATGGCTCCCCAGAAACTCATTCACATCTTCTATTCTCTGCAGCCCCAATGGCTCACCTTCAGCACTCGAGCAAAGCGATCCAGACAATTACCCACAGCAATATCAATGGTTTCCCCAAAGATGCGGTAACGATGTTCTGAGTACGCAATCACCTAAGGGTGGTGAGGATGTCCATGAAACCTCAAGTCTGTAAAGAGTAGTATTTGGCTTTGGGGGAAAGCACAGCACAGGATCAACAAGGCCACTAAACTTTCCAATAAGAAATAGAAAAAAAGTGTTTTCCCAAATCCTGAATGGGTAATTTTCTATAGCTCTTATCTGAGAAGCAGCCTGTATAACCTGACAATTTCCAGAATAGATTCCTAATTTACAGAAGATATCCTAGATATCCTAGCTTGGGGCAGAAGCAAGCTGCCATTTTATATACATTTTTCTAGTTTGGAAGCTCCTGATATGATCCTCAGAAGCAGTTTTACAGAGGCCGGGAACATACTAACAGGGCAATGATATATGGAAACAAGGGAAGAGGGAGATTTGAAGAACTCAAAATCCTACACTGGGCTCACTCAACTCAGCACTGGCAACTGACTTATGTCCATCCTTGATATGTGACCAGCTTCTAGCACAGAGAATATTTATCACCCTCTGACACATCTGCTCCACACCTCCCACACTGAGAACTTCCTAAGGACCATTGAGAAATCCTTTTCCTTTGCTGGAGCTGATAGAGGTTACCTTCCTTCTGATGTAGATCTTACTCTGTCAGCAATGGGTTTCAGTGGCCAAAAGGCTGGTGACAAAAGGGGAAAGAAAAATTCTGCCTTTCTCCTATTACCTGCTCCTCTCTACCCAATTGTCTTATTTTTTGTGACTAGGCAAGATCCATAAAAGAAACTCTCTCTCTGAACATCCTCTTCAACCATTATAGCCTCCACTGCTACCTTATATACCTGAAACCCCTAACATTTTATGTCATCATTCCAGTTCCAACCAGCTCCTTGCCCTCTACCTCCTAAAGTCCCACATCATTTCCATAAGTATGCACTGCTCATCTTTAAAAATTATTTCACAAAATGAAGTTTTGGAACATAACCCTTTCAAAAGCTAAAGCGAATGCTTAACTACTTCTGACCAGAACCCCTTCAGGTGTTTGTCAGAAAGGAAGACTACAATCCTTTGATCCCAATCTCAAAAGGTCTTGTAAGGTATCCAAAACCACCCTAGTTTCACCTATGCACTTAATATTTTAACCATTTATAAGATGTTTCTTAAAGTTTTTATATTTTCACCTGCTTGGAGTAACAAATTCTATATATTTACCACCAAAAACAAAAATCTAAGTCAGATAGTCTTAATCGCTAAGATTTGCGGAAAAAATAAGCTCCAAAATATATAAAATCCTATTGTTTTGAAGGCGTCAATCCTTACCAGTCTCATTTTCTAAGCTGGAGTTTCCTAATCTTTACATATTAAAATTCACCCAATACTCTGATATTCTTGCCCGAGTCTGCAATATTACAAACTCGCTGTGGATTTTTTATACACAGTATTTTAGGTTCAGATGAGTTTGGTTCTGTTCTTGCAGTTCCCACCACCCACACAGAACACATAAGTTGCTGGTATGGCACCTTAGAAATTAAAAAGGTATGGGTGGGGTACTCTGTATACCTGAGTATTCCCTCCGCTGACATAGAGCACAGTTGGGCTGGTGGCTCCAGTGATGAGGCGACCCATCTCAATGTGGCCTATACAGTGGTTCACACCCAGCAATGGTTTATTCCATAGCTGGGCCAAGGTACGGGCAACTACAGCCACAGCAACCAGTGGGGCACCCATGCCAGGGCCTAAGGAGATAGACATAGGAGTTAGAATCCTACAAACAAAGAGAGAAGTAGGGATGGTGGTGGAAGCAGAGGTGAGGTATGGGCTATTTCGATCTAGCCAGGCTCCTATATATTCCTCTATTGTTGACCAATCCCCCAGTCATACCTTTGGTATAGGCAATACAATCAATATCCTGGGAGGTTAATCCAGCCTCTGTTAGTGCCTCTTGAAGGAGGTCCAGAATAACAGCTCGGTGATGCCGGGCAGTATCACCCGGAAGGAATCCTACGAGATGGACACAAATCGGAGGTCATAAATTTTTCGAAGCAATGGTAGGCACAGGAAGAGAAATGAATTTTAGTATTGTAGGGAAAGTCCCTTTCACCTGAGCTATTCAGTCTTCCACATTTTCAGATATATCTCTTTACAATTTCCAGCCTATACATACACAAAGGCTGTAGGTGACCCAGCAGTTAAAGCACTTGGCTGCCAACCAAAAGGTTGGTGGTTTGAACCCACCAGCCATTCCCCAGGAGAAAGATGTGACACTCTGCTTCTGTAAAGATTACAGCTTTGGAAACTCTATTGGACAGTTCTACTCTGTCCTATAGGGTAGCTATGAGTTGAAATTGACTCAATAGTTTGGTTTCTTCCTTTGGCTATAAGCTGTTCAGCTCTCAGAAATGCCCTTTTTCAAACTCAAGACTTAATTCAATACCTACCCCATAGCTTTTGGTGATCTTCCTCTGTGATCCTATGTAACTCTGTGCGTGTTTACATGCTGCATTTAACATGTAACAATTATTGTACTATAATTGTGAGCTTCTCTCATTTAACTATGCAGTTAAATGCACTGGCTCAAAGCACTGGCTATTTTATTTATTTTTGTATTCCCGGTGCCCAAGTACCTAGAAGAATGAATGCTAAACATACCTATATAGTTTTTCAGGTACACATGTCAGTTGCTTTCTCCTAAGTGTACAGGTGAGACAAAAGTTTAAAAATAACTTTAAAAGTTTTATTGTGTCTGCGACTTTAATTCTCAAGAGCCAATGATACAGATATTTTATGGCCATTTTAAAAGTAAAGAAGAGTTCTGACACCTAAGCTAGGTGTCTTTCCCTTCTGCTCTCTCACTCTCCTTCTGATTCCAGAATACACTGATTGCACCTCTATGATACCATTTACCATAGTGTAAGTATGTTTATATTCCTGACTCTACAGCAGGCTTATGACATCTATCTTTATATCCAGCAGCCAGTCAATACTTAGCAAGTAAAAGCGCTAAAAAAAAATTGAGTGAATTATGCAGATCCAGGTCTGAGTGCCTGTCACTCTTCTTTTCACCAGCCTCGTGTCCTCTTAATACTGTCACATAGTATCAGTGAGCCTAAGATTAACAGCTGGTGATAATGCACTTCACTGGTGTTCAGGAAGACAGAGAGTGATGCTATATGGGGAAACATGCCATAACCTGCAAGACCGCTACTCATTTACCTGTGCCGGGAGGAGTGACGTAAGTTCGCCGCGGGTTCGCCAACACCGTGCCATCCCGCACCACTCCCACGCCAATCTTGTTGGCGCTGCCTTCGAAACCCAGCACCGCCGGCATGGCCGAGCCTAAAACAAAACCCTAGCAGGGCTTCCGATGACCTATGGAGTCTGCAGTAAGCCGCAGACTGTGGGCTGAAAAAGAAAAAGACGAATACGCGGCTGCAAGACAGCGACACGTACCGGCACAAACTCCAGAGAACCCCGAGTGGAAATCCTGTGAAGCCCGCACCGCCCCCGCCGTCAAGGCGACCTGTGAAGGCCCCTTAAAGGACCTGTCCTCCTAACTGCCAGGCACACTGAACAGGCATTTTCTCTTTACATTCCTATACGTTCTCTTATATTTCTCCTGTGGTCAGGTCCAGGTTTCTCCACAGATATTTTCCCTCTTGCAGAGTTTTAGGCTCTTCGGTCAGGATCGCAGAATGACAGAGGCATCTGGCACCAAAATAAACAGCCCTTGGACGGAGGGTGGGGCCTTCAGTCCCTGAAGAAATAAAGCGGAGCGGGAATGACGCGCTTCCCCATCACGTGTTGACAGACAGCCCAATCATCAGCATTTCTCGGCCACGTGCTGCATATCTAGGCTCACGTGACCACACAAGTTACCCACGTGGGGGCACAAGAGCGCTCCATTCTTTGTGCCCGGGTAAGGAGGAGCCTGGCTGAGATCCGAGCAGGTCAGGTACGAGGGTGCTGTTCCCATAAAAATAAAGGGATTTTTCTCTGAAGGTCTGACTGGCCAGCCTGAATCGGGGCCCATTAGTAAGATCCTTGACTAGCCGGAGGGCAGATATCGCGAGAAGGTGCCAAAATACTATAAAATTAGTCCACTGGGTGTGGGGCTGAAGGGCCTATGATGCAGAGAGGCTGGGAAAAGAACCAAGGCGAGATCTGGTACGAGGATGCCTGAGGGAGAAGTCCCCGCCCCAGCCTTGGCCGATTTCACGATTTCTTTGCGTCCGTAGGCAACATTAAAAATCTTGCTTCGGTGCGCGACGTGGATCAGGTGCCGAAGAGCATTCGTTGCAGGGATGCCGAAGCGTGGGAAAAAGGGAGCTGTGGCAGAAGATGGGGAAGAGCCCAAGACCGGTAGGAGAGTAAAATGAGCCCTTCTCTTGAGGGCTGCAGAGAGTATGCCTCCATAAAGGAAGGGTGGTGGTGGGGTGGTTATGGACAGACTTAAATCTTTTTGCAGTTTTATGTGATTGAGTCGCAGTAAGTTAAGGATCTCAGTGGACGTATGGTTAACTCTGGGTCAAAGGTGGAAACAACCAGCTTTTATCACTGTGTATTCACTTTATAGAGCCAGAGGCCAAAAAGAGTAAGACTGGAACAAAGAAAAATGAGAAAGAGGCAGCAGGAGAGGGTCCAGTCCTTTATGAGGATCCCCCAGATCGGAAAACCTCACCTAGTGGCAAATCTGCCACGCTCAAGATCTGCTCCTGGAATGTGGATGGGCTTCGAGCCTGGATTAAGAAGAAAGGTTTAGATGTGAGTGGAATTCAAGGAGGGGGAAGAGAAATTCTCTAGAATGATGGTGGAGTTTAATTACCTCACATTTTTGTCCGTAGGATGCAGTTTTTGTTCTTCTCTTGCCTGTAATTATCATGTAGGTACAGTGGGAACTTCAGCAAGAGCTTCTACTTGTATTCCTAAGTGGCCACTCCTTCAGTTTCACTGCCATTGTCTCATTCATGTTCTTGATTCTTTTGCAGTGTTGCAAAAACCTCTTTACTGGACTACTTCTTTCATATCTTCACTATATCCTTCCTGCCAATAACTAGTGCTTAAAATTCGTAGCTGACTACTGCTTAAAAATTTATCCACTGCACACCAACCAAGAAAACTAAACCCACTGCTGTCGAGGCGGATCTGACTCATAGTAACTGACCCCTCCTTGGGTTTCTGAGGCGACATCACTATGGAAGTAGATTGCCCAATCTCCCTTCTGAGGAGTGGCTGATGGGTTTGAACCACCAGCCTTCTGGTTAGCAGTCAGATGCCTTAGGCACTACACCACCAGAGAAAAAAATTCCTTTGGGGCCATAGAAAACCCTTTATTCTCACCTTCCTCCTTTGTTACTAGAAGACTTATGTTTTCTATCATTTAAGTACTGTTTTGCTGAACGAATACTCAACTGTGAGTTCCTAGTCCTTTACCATGGAAACCAAAACCAAACCAAACTCACTGCCATCGAGTCAATTCCGACTCACAGCTACCCTCTTGGGTTTCCAAGATAGTAAATCTTTATGGTAGACTGCCCAGTCTTTCTTCCATGGAGTTGCTGGTGGGTTTGAAGCACCAGCCGTCTGATTAGCAGTCAAATGCCTTAGGCACTACGCCACTAGAGTGCCTTAGCTCTTTACCATATACAGTTTCGATAAATGTCTGTCATGCTAAGACATTTTCTACTCTTCACAGTGGATAAAGGAAGAAGCTCCAGATATTCTGTGCCTCCAAGAAACCAAATGTTCAGAGAAAAAGCTACCAGCTGAACTTCAGGACCTTCCTGGACTATCTCATCAGTATTGGTCAGCTCCTTCAGACAAGGAAGGATACAGTGGTGTGGGCCTACTGTCTCGCCAGTGCCCACTCAAAGTCTCTTATGGCATTGGTGAGACCCTCTTCTGTTGATCCCTAATTCCCGAGCTCTTCCAAATCAATTGCTAATACTCCACTTCTCCTCTAGTTTGTTTCATCCTTTCCTTTTTTCTGTTATAGTTGTTTATGTTCATTCTCTTTTATCTTTCTGTAGGTGAGGAGGAACATGATCAGGAAGGCCGAGTGATCGTAGCTGAATTTGATACATTTGTGTTAGTAACAGCCTACGTACCTAACGCAGGCCGGGGTCTGGTGCGACTGGAGTACCGGCAGCGCTGGGATGAAGCCTTTCGCAAATTCTTGAAGGGCTTGGCTTCACGTAAGCCTCTTGTGCTATGTGGGGACCTCAATGTGGCTCATGAAGAGATTGACCTTCACAACCCCAAGGGAAACAAAAAGAATGCTGGCTTTACTCCACAAGAGCGCCAAGGCTTTGGGGAATTGCTGCAGGCTGTGCCTCTGGCTGACAGCTTCCGGCATCTCTACCCCGATACAGCCTATGCCTATACATTTTGGACCTACATGATGAATGCTCGATCCAAGAATGTTGGCTGGCGCCTTGATTATTTTTTGTTGTCTCACTCTCTGTTACCTGCATTGTGTGACAGCAAGATCCGTTCTAAGGCCTTAGGCAGTGATCACTGTCCCATCACCCTACTCCTGGCACTGTGACACCTTCCAAAAATCACTTTGAGCCTGGAAAATGAGCCCCCTAAACTAGAATTTCTTCTTTAAAATCTCTCTTGAGAAGGCTATGCTATATGTGAATCCTCCCAATAGGCTCCTAGTGACAGATTTTGGTTTCTATCTTGATCTTGAAAATCCCTCCCCTTTTTCTTTTTCTTGGGGGGGGGGATTGTTTCACATCACATAAAAGCTACTGATGACTTCCCATGAGAAAATAAAAAGCCATAGTTTCAGGCTTGCTGTCTTGTTTCTTAATCTACTCCTTGGTGGGAGTACCATTCCCATCATCCCTGTCTTTTCATATATACAAGTTAACAGAAAGAGTAGAGTCATGACCTTATTTATTTACAAGCATAGATGAATCCCTAACCTCCCCCAAGACACAGCAACCCTACCCAGCCCAGACAGATACTGCAACTGGGGTAAAGAAGGTTGGAAGGAGGAATGAAAGGAAAGGACTAGGGGAACATACCCCCACATTAAATAGTTATATATACATCAGTTCCTGTGGTTCTGTACAGAGCAGCGGCTGACCCCACCCCCATAGGACATGGAATGTGGGGAGAGGAGACTTAGGGTACTGAGGCCAGAGCCAGCCCCTGGTGAAGTGCAATAGCAGCAGCAAGGTTCTAATGGTGCACAAGAGGGAGGGAAACCCCCAGGGCTACCCTAACCCTGCCCTGGAATGTGTAAGGGACAGGAATGGCTCTCAGGGAGCATATAGGAAGGACAAGGCTAGAACCGTCTTTTGGAGCCCAGGTTTAGGGGCAACACTGCACCTACTTCACCCTTAACACAGCAACCCTTGGAGGAGAACAGATGGCCATCAGTGGTCTTACCTACCCCTCCAAACTTAAGTGAGGGCCTGGTTCCTTCCTACTTCTCCCCAGGGAAAAGGAAGGCAGCTGCTGGCTCCCCTTACGGAAGCCCAGGGAGCCCTTTACTCCAGCTCCCTTTGTAGTGTCACTGTCCCCACCAGGGAGGGGTCAGGCACAGTCTGTGTATCATGGTAGGCTCAGGAGAAGTTCTGGACAGGGTGGCTGACCTTCATACAGGCCCAATAGAGGGCCCGGCCCAAACACAGCACAGCCAACAGGATGACAAATGCCCAGGCTGCATAAATACCTCCGTATCGTCGTGCATGCTTCCATGTGCCAAACTAAAGGTGAAGAACAAGGACAAAAGATGGCGTCAGTATCAATCTCCCACCACTTCCCAGGAGCCCACAGAACTCAAGCTTCTGTTCCAATTTCCTATCTACCTCTAACTACCTTCAAGCTGCTCAGTTCCCCTGCCCTAGGCAGGAACACAATCTTACCATCCCAGACAAATATCTGTCAGTTTTTATTAATGTCCCACAACTGAGTTAGGATTCCTAATAGCAAATCTTAATTTAAGCCAGTTCTCTATTGTCCTGTAGTTTGTAGAGAGAGAATGGCTGTCTTTGACTCCTATATATAGTGACAATGAAGACTTTATCAGCTATCTTCAGCTTTAGCTCATCAATGCCTTAAAAAAAACCTCAAGCGAACAAACAGTCCTCAGTTTCCTTCATCTTTCTTTAGGATAGGCATTTCTCAAATTTCCAAGCCTATGGAGATAAGGCTGCAGGAGAAACAATCAGGAAGAATGAAAGGGGCTGAGTCAAGGTTACTCACAGCAAGGCCAGTGGCAGTGACTGCCAAGAGCAAGCCAAGCAAGAAACAGCAGATACATCTCTTTCGTGGATATCTGCGTCCAATAGATGACCTGTGGGGAGGCAAACAGGAATGGATGCTTCTGATGCTCCTGTAGTTTCTACTCCACACATTACTGGATTACTAGCTCAATGATGCCACTCCCTCACTTACACTTTCCTACAGTGAGGGCAACGTGCCAAAGTTCTGTCTGTGAACTCTGTCCACTATGGAGAAAAGAAAAAAGGAGAAGCCAATTAATGTGAGAAGCAGGGTCATCCTCAGTGAGAACCCTGGGGTGGGGCAAGGGTGGAAAACACACCTTTTCAGGATTTTTATTACTCAAGAGAAATATATAATTATTCCTAGTTTTTTTCCCTGGGCTTCCCAATCAATGCCCCTCCTCACCAGAAACGTATTCTTGCAATGTCCACAGATAACCCTGACACCCACAGGTTGTGGTTCTGGACTCAGGGGTCCGGGATGCACTGGTCCCAGGTTAATAATTCTTTTGCTGTGTAGGAGAAAAAGACTATGTTCAATGTATTTTTAGTCGTAAGAATCCCTACACTGTCCCTCCTTCACACACACACACACACACACACACACACACATAGCCACTCCCTGCCTCTCTCTCTCTTATCAAGGTCTTCTTACTTGGTATATTCAAGGAGCTCGATCTTTCATCTCCACCATAAAGAATCCTTGAGGAAACACATTGCTTAAACATCATGTCTCTAATTCTCCTCTCACCTCAGGATAATCAACCCAGTCACCAAGGCTCTCCATTTGCCTAAAGGACATCATTTTTTCCCAACCTTTTTATTGAGAGATGAGCTAGACAACTTTAACATTTGGGCAGAAAACAATCCTTAACTTTTTCTTCTAACACTAGGCTCTCAAACACTTACATTCTCTATAAACATTCATCCTCTTGGGCTTTCCAGTTTTTCCCACTTATGCCCCACCCCACCTGATGTCTCTCACCAATAGGGCCGAGGGCAGGCAATCCGCTGGGAAGTTACTTTGCAGATAAGAAGACAGTTACAAGGGCAGCGAACATACTTTTTCCCTGGAGGTGCATTCTTGATAGGCTAGAAAATAATGAGGATGTTAGCAAGCAAACCTCTAATCCCAATCCTCTCTAATTCCCTCCCAAAACACCTTCTAAGGAGAGCTCAGATAGAGAAAAGTCCTACTCAGGAAAGAGAAGTGAAAGAAAGGCATGTATCATGAGATTTGCAAATAAGAACCAGGTTTAGTATTCAGAAAAGATGTGAAAGTGAGCAGTGGTAAAGATTATCTTGGTGAGTGGCTTCTGGGTTAATGAGCGTGTGAGATTCTTGAACTGAAACCCGAGTTTCATGAAGAGCACTTAGGGAACGCCTGCCTAAAAGTTCAGGGTTTACGATCAGGGATCAAAAAGAGGATCAGGAAACAGGGCCCATTTTGAAGACATGCAGAACTCACAGTGGCTTCATTGCAGACGCCACATTTGACTACATGCTGATGCATCTTGCCTTCCACGTTGATAAGAGACTGACAGACTCGGCAGGTGATCATGGGAGCACTCCCACTATCGGGACTAGCCAAGGGTGAGTAGGGGGGTGGGTCTTCCCCAGGCAACACGGCTGGGTGCCCCTCCGGGAACGGGGGAAATGCTAGAAAGAAACCAGATAAAAAGCAAGACTGGGTCATGTGCAAACACCCCCACTGATGCTCCATCCGGCCAAGGAATTCCTTCTGGTTCTCAACCTTTCTGACCAAGCTAGCGCGCAAGAAATGTTCAGGTCTTTCCTTTGCTTTCTGAGAACCCCCTGCAGTTTCTGGGTTCTGCTAGCGATTGCGGAGAGAAATCCCACCCCATCACAGGTGCAGTAGCTTCGCACCTGACACTTGGGTCCCGCCTCCGCCCTCGGCCCCGCCCCCTACCCGCCTATCAAAGCACCCCCGGGAACACCTCGGACCCGCCCGGGCTTACCCTGGGGCGGGGCATGTTTACCGGCTCCGTACGGTGGTGCGGAGGGGGTCAGGCCTCCACCGGGCCCAGCCCCACTCCCGCCCGGCCCCACTAAACCGTTGCCGCCGGCGCCACCATCAATGGGCTCGGAGAGAAGCGGGGAACGCTCTCCATCTGCCGCCATGGCCGCCACCGCCGCCTTCTGCTCCGGCAAAGGTTGGAGGCACTGCCGTCGCCGCAGCCACCGCCGCCACCGCTACCGGGTCCCCAGGGCGCCTGCGCGCCGCACGCCCAGCTCACCCCGCAACCAGTGGCCTACCCCGCCCCGTTCAGTCCCTCAGCACGTGATAAGCTACCCCGCCCCCGCCATTCTATTATTAGTGGGGATAAACCAATTCCTGGGCTTGTGAAGGCAGCTCTTCTTTTCCATTGGAGAGCGACTTTAGCGTCAACTGTCACATGACCTGCCGGATGCAGCTGGAGGCTGCAAAAACTGCACGTGACTAGAGATTCTGCGACTCATTGGAAGCGCGGGCCATCGCGCTACCTCCAGACCAGAAGGTGGGGTTAAACTGCTGCTGCTTCCTCGTCCTGAGTTTCAGGAAGCTGCGCGGCTTCTGTTACGCTCCCGGAGCGGGCGCGTAGTCTGCTCATCATTGGTCCAAACGAACCACTAAAAGATTTTTCTCCCCCTTTGCGTTATAACTGGGTTGTCATTGGCTCATGGCTTCCTTTCTCTCATCCTGTGATCCTTGGAGCGTAACTTTACTGGCTCGAATTTAGCGCCAGAACTGTGGGGGCGTGGCTTAAGCATCTTAGAGGGCAGGCAATAAAAGAGTGCTGGAGGTTTATTTAGCTTGCTGCTGTGCTACGTAAGTTGAGTTCTGACCAGTGGTAGGAGGGACAGTAGTCCACAGGTGGTATTCTACCCAAAGTTATATACCAGTTGGAAATGGATTAAAACGTTAAAATGATCACTCTCAACCTCTCTCGTTGAAGTTACTCTGGAACAAGACAGGTTTCTCCCGGAAGCTGTCTCTGCAGGCGCCACACCACACTCCTCCGTCACCGCCCTTAAATTGTGAAATTATTTTTTAAGAGTCTGCGTCTACCAATAGAAGCAAATCTCATCCTTTGCCCGATTTTGTGACACCCGCCCTAGCACATATGCATAATAAATGTTTGTTGAATGAGCTAATAAACCCGTTACCATGCAGTCCATAACTACCCTGTAGAAAAGTAGAAGAACTTCCCCCACAGGGTTTCCAAGGCTGTAATTTTTATGGGAGCAGATTGCCAGGTCTTTTCGCCCCAGAACAGCTGATGGGTTCCAACCACCTGCTGTTCAGTTCCCAGGAGGGAGCCGCTGTGGCACTAGGGCTCCTCACACTGTTAATAGAGAAGGCTAGTCTGACAATTGTTGGAAAAGACCTTAAGCACCTCAGACTAACATACAGCCAACTCACACACATTCA